TGAGTAGGTTCCGACTCGACAGTACACAACAACAACAGCAACACACACACACACACACACACACACACACACACTCTCTTACTTCCCCTATAGGAAGAGTCAGCAGCCAGAAATGTTGGAAACTGGAAAGTAGATGAACAAGTGGTAAGTAATGGGGCAGGCCCAAGAAAGCATCACCTTAAATAAGGCAAAGAGGAAGCAACCCAATTTATAATAAAGAATCATCAAAAGACTTGGAAACTAACTGGTTATATATAGTACTTCTAGAAATGGAAATGATGCTAAAAACAGAAATAATATTTTAAAAACTGCTTAAGAAGCACTCAGATCCCAGATATATTCCCCATGTCTACATGCCTTCCTTACTCTGGATGAGAGTCTTATTCTCTGGGTACATGCAAATCAGAGACCACTGGCCAACAAAACAAACAACTCATTGCTGTAGAGCTGAAACTGACTCACAGCTGACCCCCCCCCAGTAGGTTTTTAGAGGCTGAAAATCAAACAGGAGAACATTGCCCATCTATCTCCTTCAGAGCAGCTGATCAATTCAAACCTCTGGCTTTTGGGTTGAGAGTGAACCTCCTTACCCACTAGGCCACCAGAGCTCCCTAGGGAGATACTAGACATAAATGAAAATAAAAACCTTAATAAACAAATATCCCATGGACTGCCAAAAGGGGGAAAAACCCATGTATCTTAGAGAAGGTACAACCAGTTTGCTCCTTGGAGGCAAGGAGCTTTGTCTCACACACTTCAGGCATGTTGCTAGGAGAAGTTATTCCTTGGAAAGGGACATAATTCCTGTAAAGGTAGAGGCATGGTGAAGGAGAGGAAGACCCTCAACCAGGGCAGGTTGACACAGTCATGCGGCAATGGTGTGTCAGAGATAGTGAAGATGTCACAAGACAGGACAGGGTTCAGATCTGTTGTTCATAGGGCTGTTATGAGTTGTACTTGACTCACCAGCACCTAACAGCACATAAATGCAGGATGCTGAAAACCATCTTTTTTCAGTCAGCATGCTGACAGTCTCTTCTAGACTCTTAAATGGCTGAAACTAGAGATCCTTCCCTGACAAATCTAAACAAAAGAAAAGCCTCAGATAGTGACTGCACAGATCCCAAGTCCATGGTGGTTCAGAACTCCAAGAAGACCAGAGTTGTCAATTACCTTTAAGGAGACCTAAGACCATTTATCTAATAGTAACCAAGAACTGACACAATCTCCTTTCCTCCACCTTCTTTTGGTCAACAAAGTAACAGATCTGTCCAGATTTAAGGCAAAGTATGTCTACGAAAATGCAGCCATCATTAATCTGCTATTGGTTCAGGAGATGACTCTGATGGTCCTTGAAGTTCATTTTCTCCTCACTTTGGATTGTTGTTGTTGTTGTTGTTGTTAAGTGTCATCGAGTCACTTGAGACTCATAGCAACCCTATGTACAATAGCCCTGAACCCTGCTCTGTTATGAGCCAGTCTTATTTTCTCTGACACACCTAACCTCATTACCACCATCACTGAACCAAGCCATCTCATCAAAGGTCTTCCTCTCTTGTGCTACTGCTCCACCCTTCCAAACATGATGTTACTCTCCAAGAACTGGTTCTCCAAGAACTGATTCTTCTTGCAAAACTTCCAGAGTATGTCAGACGAAGCTTCAGAATCCTTGCACCCAAGGAGCAGCTTGGTTTCACTTTCTCTTGGATGAAACCATTTGTTCTCCTCGATCACTACAGCTCAAAGGCATCAATTATCTTTCTATCATCCCTAGTCATTGTCTGGCTTTCTGACAAATAACAAGTAATTGCAAAGACTATGGCTTGGATCAGGCACACTTTAGTCCCCAGGCTGACATCATTGCTCTTCAGTACTCTGGAAAGGTCCCTGACAGAAGACTTTCTCAATGCATTTCATCTTTTGATTTCCTGGATGATGGTACCAAGAGTATTGAGCCCAGCAAACTAAAGCCGTTAACAATTAAAAAAAATATCTATTAAACCTATTGGCAGTCTCAATCTCTTCACTGTCCAACATGATGCTGCCAATCACCTCAGGGATAAGAATCTTTGTTTTCTTGATATTGAGCTTCAATTCATATTGAAGACTATAATTCTTGATCTTCTGCTGCAAGCACTTCAGATTTTCCTCAGACTCAGCAAGCAGGGTCATGTCATCTGTATTGCACAGGTTGTTGATGATTCCTCCAATCCTGATGCTGCACTCCTCATAGAGCCAGCCTCCCGGGTGATCTGTTCTGCATATCGATTAAAAAGATACGGAGAGAGGACATATCTCTGGTGTACACGCTTCCCAATTTGGAACCATGCAGTCTTTTCCTTGCTCTGTTTTGATGACTGCCTCCTGGTACAGGTATAGGTTTCACATAAGCACAAGTAAACGTTATGGGATTCTCAAATGCATAGAGGGGGAAATAATTATTAATGATTACAAGCGGTTGGAAAGGAGGGAGAAATGGGAGGTTAATGTTTCTTTTCTACCTTCCCTAGTTGAGTAGGGCCCAGAGTCTTGTGAGCTTGCCATCAGCCATCCAAAACACAGTTGGTCTCTACTCACCTAGGGCAACAGAGAAAGAAGGAATCTAAGGAGGACATAGTGTGTCAAATCGTCTCCATGAACAACTGCCTCCTTTGCTTTGAGATGGGAATTGGATAGTACGCAGTCACTGTTACTGCACATGATTTTTAAAAAGATGCTCTAAAAGAACCTTGATCAAAAGTGAGGAAATGCAGAACAGAATTTCAGATTCTCATGGACTCGAGACTCTTTGGAACAATGATGATTGTATGAACTCCTGAAACTACTGACCTGAGATAATCTTTAATTATTTTTTTTAATTTTATACTGGTTTATTTACAACATTCAAATACATTGTTTTTCACACTGGATCTTTCCCATTTCTTTCACCATCCTACCCATCAAATTGTGAGACCTTATGACTACCCCCTCCCTACCCATCCTCACCCCTCTGTTTCCACCGACCCCCCCCCACACACACACACTTTGGATCCTCAAACTCATTCTACAATAATGGTTTTATATAGTATTTGTCCTTATAGGACTGAGTTACTTTACTCAGCTTAATGCTCTTCAGTCCTTCCCAACAACCCCTGAATCATTTTAAAACCAGGCAATAGTTTATCTCAGCTAGCTAAAAATAATAAAAAATATATATTCAGAAACAAAAAGCCAGTTACCCCCTTGAACATTAGGCTCTTTTAAGTTAAATAATATCTATGGGCTCAAATTGACAGCAGCAACTGGAAAGATTAGGTAGGAACCATTAGGGGGCAGTCAATGTGTGAAGGGAGGAAGAAAAACTCAGAAGAGAAAGTGATAATGGTTGCACAACTCCAAAAATATAATCAGAGTCACTAAATGGTACATGTGGAAAGTTGATGAATTACCATATATTTTGTTATGTATACTCTCAGCAACAACAACAAAATTAAATTAAGAATAAAGAAATGTTATCACTACTATTCTCATACATCAAGAGGAAGGTTAATTTAGATTAGATGTATTCTGAATACTAAGACGAGTCATGTGACTGCAGCTTAGATAACACATACATACATACACAATAGTGATAGCACATACATTTTTAATATATGATGTTATTATAATGAAGAAAATATATGTCCAATGTGTAATTGTGTATTTCTGAGTTTAAATATAATTGCTCATTTATACTTGGCTTTGTTTTAGGAAGTCCAAAGAAGTATAGAGAATATAACATTGAACTGCTTTTAACAAATTAAAAATTTGGCAAAGGAGATAGAGAATAAGAAATGAGATGGGGGGGTGGACCAATAAAATGACTAAAAGTAAGACAGCATGTAACAACAACAATAACATATATCGTTATAGGTTGACTCTGGGCCACAAATCTGTCTTTGAACTCCATATTCATTATATGAGATTCAGTGCATATCTATTGACAGTCTTAATATAAGGATGGTTTAAATACAGCAACACAGAATCTGAGTTCTCACTCATATGAAGTTTGAAGATGTGCAGTCCAGGGCAGGTACAGCATTCCACTCTCCTCAGTCCTCAGTGATCCAGGGCCCATCCAGCTTAACCTCTGCATTCTGAATATGGACCTTATCCCCATATTCTAAGATGGCAGAATTAACATTTTCCCAAACAGCAGAATGGAAGAAGGGACAAAGAAGGATCAAAAGCCAGCTGCCATCATTTATTTGTTTGGGAAGAAAGTTTTCAGAAACTGCCACCAGATGCTCTATTTGCACCCCACTGCCCTAAACTTAATGGCATGGCAGGATAACTGTGGAGGCATAGTCCCAGTGCTATTACACCAAAGATTTTTGTATAAATACCTCTTTGTGGTTTGAATCCACCAGTGAACTCTGTAGGAGAAAGATGAACAATCTCTTCTTGTGTGATTTATTACCTCAGAAAATCCAGCAGAAGGCTAGCTATTAAGTCCATTCCAACTTATTGGCAATGAGTTTGAGTTTCATATTTGAGTTGCAAAGGAAACTGGGAAATACAGTTATCATTCTGCATAGACATGGATCTGGCTAAAATGTTGTTACAAAAGTCAACAAGGAGAGATAGATGAAGGACAATGATAATGTCTTCCACAGCTTCATAGCAGCTAAAAAAAGAACAGGAACGTGGTGAGGTACAAAATAACAAATTGCTTTTTATTGAAGCTCTTGGTAAAAAGATTGGAAATGGATGGTTTTGGAAATCTTCATTTCAAAGTAAAAATATGGGATTTTGGTAATATCCGCTCCATTACCACATGGTTGTAATTTGCTTCATTGCTTTCTTCCTTGTAACAGCTCTCAATAGTGGGTTGATAGTGCAGAGAAAACATATGTGCAGAGATTTCATTTTCTGTGTTCACGTCTATCAAATTTTTAAAAGATCATAATAAAAATGTACTTGCTTGAACTTCTTCATATAAATGTCCTAGCATTAAATATATGCACATTTACTTGTTTCAGGATTAAAGACAGTTCTCTTTACCTCCGTTTACGGAAAAGAAACCGTTGCAATCACAGAGACTACCAGAATATTTCCAAAAATGGTAGGTAACCCTCCATTTAGGCTTCCACATGCCATTAATGGTTTATTCTGTTTCATAAATGCTAAAAAGACTATGTTGTTGATGATGATGATGATGTTATTGTTATGTGCCGTCAAGTCACCTGTGACTCTTAGCGACCCTATGTACAACAGCCCTAAAACCTGCTCTATTCCTTGCCAATCTTAATTGTCTCAGACACACCTGTTCCCATTACCTCAGTGACTGAATCAATCCTTCTCATTGAGGGTCTTCCTCTCCTGCACTGTCCCTCTACCCTCCCAAGGATGATGTCCCTCTCCAAGGATTGATCCCACCTTGCAACATGTCCAAAAGTATGTCAGATGAAGTGTCAGAATCTTTGCCTCCAAGGAGTAGCCTGGCTTCACCCTTTCCAGGAGGAACTCATTTGTTCTCCTAGTAGTCCATGGCATATTCAGTACTCTTCTCCAGCACCAAAAATCAAAGGCATCAACTCTCCTTCTACCATCCCTAGTCATTGTCATACTCTCTGATGCATTGCAAATAATTGCAAAAACCATGGCCTGGATCAGGTGCACCTTAGTCTCCAGACTGACATTGTTGCTCTTCAGTACTTTGGAGAGGTCTCTGACAGCAGACCCTAGCAAACTGAAGCTGTCAACGATCTCAATCTCTTCATCATCTATCATGATGCTGCCAGTTGGCCCACTGGGGAGAATTTTTGTTTTCTTGATGATGAGCTTCAGTCCATAGTGAAGGCTGCAGTCCTTCACCTTTTTCAGCAAGCACTTCAGGTCCTCCTCAGTTTCAGCAAGCAGAGTGGTCATCTGCATAACGCAGATTGTCGATGAGTCTACCTTCAATCCTGATGCCACACTTCTCTTCATAGAGCCCAGCCTCCCAGATAATCTGTTCCACACATTGAAAAGATATGGAGATAGGACACATCCTTGACACACACCCTTCCCAATTTTGAACCATACAGTGTTTCCTTGCTCTGTTCTGACAACTGCCTCCTGGTCCAAATATAGGTTTCACATAAGCATAATCAAGTGTTCTGGGATTTCCCTTTTTCTCAGAGTCAGTCACAGTTTGTTGTGATCCACATAGTCAAATGCCTTTGCATAGTCAATGAAACACAGATAGACATTCCTCTGGTACTCTCAGCTTTCAGCCAAGATCCATCTGACATTAGTTATAATATCCCTAGTATCATGGCCTCTTCTAAACCCAGCCTGCACATCTGGCAGTTCTCTGTTGATGTGCTATCCCAGTCATTTTTGAAAGATCTTAGCATTTCATTTAATCAAGGATCACAGAATAAGCGAACCCTTTGGTCCACTGTGTGAGATAAGCTCTAAGACTTAAAGTTGAATCATTTACCCTTAGAAGAGGAAACACCAGGAGTCACTGGGTAGTGCAAATGGTTAATATATTTGTCTGCTAGCCAATAGGTTAAATGCTCAAATATACCCAGAGGTGCCTCGGAAGAAACACCTGGAATTCTATTTCCAAAATATCCATTAAAAACCCCATGGAGCACAGTTCTTCTCTGACATACATAAGGTCAAAATTAACTCCACAGCAACTGGTGGTGATGGTGGAAATGTGATCAAGAATTAGCTGTACATAGGGTCGCTGTGAATTACAAGTGACTCGATAGCACATAACAGCAGCAATAACAGGCATAGACCGTGGGGGAAATGGCCAGCCACAAAATAGGAAAATCCAAGAAAGACTAAGGTGAAGAGTATGAGATGTTCAGGAGGCAGAGGAGACTTAAGTCAATACTGACAGAGCAGGAGCTGAACAAAAAAAGGGTGACAGCAAAGGTTCTGCCCTTCCCTGTGGTGACAAGTGCTCTAAAGTGGGAGTTTTAAGAAAATATCCAAGCACAGCCTCTATCATTGAAATGACAGTTCAGCGGACACATGTCTGCAAAGATTTCCTTTTCTGAGCTCATTTCCATCAGAGTTTAGCCACCATGTGGCTAAAATCCCTGCAGCCATGCAGGAAAGGTGTGTGTTTCCAGAGTGTTACTGAGGCCTCCAGGTATTCATCAGCTTGTTTCCTAGATCTCTGTATCTTCAGGCCTTGCCTCAGGACTATGTGGATCTCAGCCTCCCACTAGCACACACTGTGCATGCAATGCCACAAGATTTTGATGACGCTACTAATTGATACACCATAATCTGTAATGACTCTCCAAGTAACATCTTGTGTCACCATAATGTAAAGAAGATAAATTCTGTGTGTGCACTCATGTGCACGTGTATGTGCATACGTGGGTTGCCACTTCTTCCTATGTCTGAAGAAGATGATACTAACCAACTTTGGCACTCTCATCTGCTACACAAGGTTCTGCCTCAGCAATTCTCACAACACAGGAAGCCTGACAATCAGCAGTAGATTAGACTTGGCATGTGCAGCTAAACTCATTTGTTATCCCTGTACCATCTTTAATTAACCAAAGATTGTTGAGAAAGTTTCCATGGAGCATAAGCGTTAACTAAACATGTCACTTAAAAAATAATTTATTTCTTATAATAAGTGTTCTATCTGGATAAACATTCTACTATTCTAGGGAGGTTTGGGTAGGTTGGTTTTTTTTTAACTAGCAAAATCATTGTTGCTATTGTTAATTACCATCAAGTTGTTGCTCTGGAGGATTTTCTTGGCTGTGACATTTACGGAAACATTTTGCCAAGACTGTCTTATATAGTGCCACTTGGTGGATTCAAACTCTCAGCCTTTGTGTTAACAGTCAGATGCAACCATTTACACATTTTGTTTATTGGGTTCGTCCAATATGCATAATTATACAATTATAAGAATATTTTATTTCAAGTTTTTCAGTCAGTCTTTTCAACATCACTATAAAGCAAATGTCATTGTAATGCTTTGGTTCAAAGATACTACTCATTGATTGTTATAGCTCTGAGCAATATTTAGAAAGGGGAAAGGGGAAGAGGAGGAATTGCAACATACACCTTGATTGAAGCACTCAGCCTAATAGAAAATATAACACATTCCTTAGAAGTGAGAAGTTCATGGTGTTCCCACTGTTACAGATGAAAATGTGAGCTTAGCATAGTCAAGGGCTTTGTCCCACTCATAGGGATAGCGGGTTACAGAGCTGGACTTTGTACCCAGGTGTCACTTTATCCACAGACACTGTCAAAAATAATGCAGCTACTTGTCTACGGTCAAAATGATCTCCAGAAATACATCAGCATCACCTCTTTGCACACGAACTAAAGCAGTAGTTCTACACTTTAAGTGAAAGCTAAGCCCGGCTGTCACCATGATAAATACAAAGTGCACATCCAGCCCTTGCTCACACCTGCTCTTTTTCTTCAGTGAGAAATATAAAGTTCCCCAAAGCTATGAGGACCTATCTGTCAAAAACCAAAGAAGAAAAATGTACATATCATGCAACTATGCCCAATTATAATATCCTTGATAGCACAGTTTGTACTAAGTTACTAGCCATAGTGTTGCTAGTTCAAACTCACCCAACATCATCAGAGAACAAAAACCTGGTAATCTGCTTCCATAAATAATATAGCCAAGAAATCTCAGTGGAGTTGGCTGTACTCTGTAACACATGAGGTTACCAGGAGGATAAAACACATCATCAGCTTGATGGCTGTGGGTATTGAGACAAAACCCACTAAAACTCAGTGCCATCAAGTCAGTTCCATTTCATGGTGGCTCTCAATTTTCTAAGGGTTCAATATTTAAAGATACTGCTCATCTTTTTCCTCACAGAGCAACTGGTAGACTGTAGATTCGAACCACCAACATTCTGGTTAATAGTCTGATACCTGACTCAAGCCATGGTTAAAAGTCTACATACTCTTATTTGGAAAGTCAAACACTGCTTAAAAAAAAAAAGATATGCAATTGAATAAAATAGTTTGATGTATATCACGTGGGGAAATCCAGAAAGAAAAATATTTTGTCCTAAACAGGGTAAAATCAGGCTGCTCCTTGGAGACAAGGATTCTGAAGCTTTGTCTGACATACTTTGGGCAGGTTGTCCTTGGGGAGGGATGTCATGCTTGGGAGGGTGGAGGGACAGCACAGGAAAGGAAGACTTTCAATGAGATGGATTTATTCAGTTACTGGGGTAATGCGGTAGGTGTGTCAGAGACAAAGAGATTGGCACAGGATAGAGTACGATTTAGGGCTGTTGTACATAGAGGTTGCTATGAGTCATGGGTGACTCGATAGCACATAATAGCAACAACAATGTATGAAAAAAGATTGATGGAAAATTCACTAACATGTAATTGTTACATCTGGTAAGATTATGAGTGAGTGACTTTCTTTTTTGTTTTGTTTTGTTTTGTTTTACTTGTTTCCCAAAATTTATATTTCTGTATGAAAATAACCTAAAACTTAGTAATATTTTTTAAAAATTAGAAAGGAACTGAACCTACAAACAATAAAGAATTTTCCTGAACTCACATAGGTAAGTGGACAGAGTAGGGCAGGGTAATAAGCATTAAGAATTCTACTAGAAACACAGGTAGTAAGGGGCTCTCTTCATGTTCCCAAGTACACCGTTTCTCTAAGACTCAGACTTGTCACATCAACATCACTCCTCTACCCATCATGAATGCAGCAATCTGTGTGAAAAAGAAAAGACCAAAGTGAGATGCTCCAAAGAAAGGACCCTATACAATTGATAGGAGACAGTTCTTTTGTGCTATGCCATCTTGACAGGATTCCTTTAAAATACTGACAGTGGAGATAAAAAGGGAACCAGGAGAGGGGAGGAGAGTCTAATCATGAAAAATATGTGTGTCAAAATCTGATGGAAACCTGTGGCTTCTCTCAGACATTGTCTGATGAATAGCTGCCAGGAGAGGCTCGCTCTTTCTTCTTTGTTAAGTTTGTTATTCTTAAAACTGCATAGAATGTTCGCTTTGTCTAGTATAATTTCTTTGAAGATACTTGACTATTTTTGTAAAAATGTGATTGTAAAAGAATCTTTTTCTCTAGTTTCTCCTAGT